TTGTCGATATTACCACCCCGTTCCAGAATATGGGTCCAAATATCCAATACCTTGAGCAATTGTGTTAAGCAAGAGCGCCCCGGCATAAAACCGTGTTGGCAATCTTTTACAAGGTTGTTTCGTAGTAGATGTTCCATCGCGGCATCTCTGATAATACTCTCAAGTACTTTACATATTATGCTGGTCAGGCTCACCGGTCTATAGTTGTTCGTGGAGTGACTATCGCCCTTCTTGAAGATAGGACTCACATAAGCCACTTTCCATTCACTGGGGACCATTTGTTCATCCAGGCATTTACAAAACAGAATCTTCAGGGGCTCTGCAAGCTCGTTGCACAGCTCTCTTAGCACTCTAGGATGCACCATGTCAGGTCCGGGACTCTTATGGACCTTTAGCCTGGACAGTTTATTTCTAATACCCTCTTCTGTGAACACAATGTGGGTCAGTGCTGTGTCGAACCGTCTGTCCTCAAACGCAGGAAGGTTAGTTGCATCCTCTCTTGTGAACACTGAGGAAAAGAAGCTGTTCAATGCCTCAGCTTTATCCTGGTCAGAATCTGCATAACTACCATCTTCAAGCCTCAGGTCTGATATTCCTACTCGCGTTTTCAATTTCGACTTTGCATAGCGGTAAAACGCCTTTGGGTTTGACTTGACCTCGGGTGCAACCAGCCTCTGGAACTCCTTTTCAGCCCTCCTACACTCTATCTTTGCTTGGTTTCTGGCTCTTGCATACATCCTCCTGTCTTGCTCATCGTTTGACCCAACCTACGTCTTCTAAAGGCACATGCGCAAATAGTTTCTCATACATATCTTTACTCATTATGGAGAAATCAGCTGCAGTATCCACTTCCATGGTTACAGGTGTGTCATTAATACACAAGTCCACATTATACCTATGTTTAACTTTCTCTTCACGACTGGTGTAAATAGTAAACACATGGGCACTCTCATCATTATCAGATCCAAAATTACTAACACTCTCATGAATACTGTTTTTCATTTCCTTCTCTCCACCTTCAACGGCATATACTCTACCTTTATCACTTCTACAGGCAGGAGCAATATGTCCAATACGTTGACAATTGTAACATTTAGAATTCTTGAACTTACACTGAAAGCTTTCATGTTTCCCTCGGCACCTCTTACATTTTAAACCAGCATGTGTTCCTTGTTTTGTGGCATACTTATTCCTTTTAGTTACAGTTACTTTACACACTGAGCCACTACTGCCAACTGTTTCACTACCAGCATTGGGAACAAATTCTCTGGTGTTTTTCTCGGTCAATTCCATTCTTGTAGCTATCTGACATGCACTTTCAAAAGTTAAGTTAGAGGTGTTCTTTAACTTATTCTGTATTTTTTCATAATTCAGGCCTATTACAAACCTGTCTCTTAGAGCTTGGTTCAAGAACTGTCCAAAGTTACAGTGAATGGATAATTTCTTCAAAGCTACTATATAATTACTTACTGATTCATCTTTCCCTCTATCTCTGGTGCCAAATCTGTAACTTTCAGCGATCTCAAGTGGAGCAGGGTCAAAATGTTGCTTCAGAATCTTGGTAATCTGAATCAGTGAGGAGTCTTTGGGCTTGTTTGGAACCAGCAAATTGACCAGGGTAGAATAAACATTAGCTCTTACCTCTGTCAAAAGGATTGCTTTCCTTTTCTCTTGAAGGGCTTTCTTCTTCTGAGCATCACCACCGTCGTCCATTAATTCATTTGCCAGAAAGAAGAAGTCCATTCTCTCACAATATGATGTGAAATCTTCCTTGTCTGCATCATACTCCCCCAATCGTCCAGATGTATCCACTGACGCCAGCCATGGTTGCTCTCTTCACTTAAATTCTCCAGGTTCAGAGTGAATCGGCGACTTGTGCAATTAACCAGGCCGTTCACATATATTTATTATCTGGGTTTAAGTAACGAAACCCAAACGGTAGTTCCTTGTTTTATTATAAAAGGCTTGTATATATATTTCCTGAGTGTAGATCGACCGTAAGTTCCACTGTATAGGAGTGAATGAGAAAGCGACGGCGTTTATGTATTATAAACATTAGGTCACGTCCTTACAATATTACTTTCTGTGAGCGACTAAGGAGTGAGGGCCTCGCTGTGCGGGCTTACAGATATGCTGACTATGGGTCTCTCCCTCCTGGGAGAGTTGCCCTCTCACATGTACAGCTCATGTCTTACTCATAGACAGTGGAAAGTTACAGGGTGGTGAATCTGAATATAATATCAGATGTATTGACCCATTTATATAATATGTTCTGTTGATGAGGCAGGGGCCCATTACAAGAGTAGCCTTCCCTTCAGTGGTCACTATCCTCTCTTCAAGGACTTCACCAACACTTTGTGAATCCCATCCTCGTTGCCAGTGTAGTATCTTGCATTATTTAATGGGAGAAGGACAAGCACATGGTCAGTCTAGTTGGGGAGTTTATTCTCTGGTGTTGGTTACAACGTGCCAAACTCATTTCGTGTTTACACAAGCCTAAACACTTTCTGACTTTGGTAAGAAGTAACATAATATATGATATATATATATTCAATAAAGGCAGCATATAAACATACATATATATAACAGTAGTGTAAACGTGAATGGAATTTTTCGGTTATTAAAGTTTAATACTTTTATTTTTACAGTAAATAAAGACTGTCAGTGTATGTTGAAAGAATCATAGAATGTAATTGTAAACTAATGTATAATTTCATCTCTCATTCATTTGTTAATTTAATTAGGATTTTTTTGTGTCAATATATTTGGTTATGCTAAGTACTGCATAAGTTCATAACCAGGATGTCATCCAAGGTGTGCGCCAAACAAAATTTTCTAAAAACTTATTTTTCATTAAAGTTTAGAGTTTTCTGTTTATTTACATGACTAAGACCAACAATAAGTTATATAAAAATGCACTGGTATAATGTGTATGTGGTTGGTATTGCATATTTACCGTACATGAATAATGAATAAGGCCGATAAGTTGTATGAGAATGCAAATTAATTATTTGTGAAATTGTGTACAGTGTACACCTTGATAAGTTGATCATCATCTGATCTTGGCATGATACTATTTTCTACCTATGCTATACAGTACTATAGTTTTTGGATTCGTTTAATACTTTCTGTCTTTTCGTACAGTAAATAAAGATCATTTAATTATTTGTGTACACCTTGATCATCATCTGATCTTGGCATGCTATACCTTTTTGGAAAGCTTGTGGGGTAGGGGATATTTGGTTCACACTCAGGATGGGATGGAGAAAGGAAACTCACAATGTGCTCTCTCTATATACATGTTGTATTGGATGTACAATGCAGCTTGGTGCTGGGAAGGCAGCATGGTTACAAGCGTGATGTAGAGAGAGCTGGTTGGTGAGGATGCTCAGAGGAGGACCAGCTTGTGGGTCGCCATGCTCGCCGGCGGGAGCGAGGACCGCCAGGCAGGAGGAGGAGGATGTGTTGCTGGCTGGTTGGTGTAGGTAGAAGAAGGGAGAGTGGTCACCACGAGGTCAGGTCTTATATAGCGGAGGTAGGCGTGGCTTAATAGTTGACCTCCGTCATGTAAGGCGGCGCTGGTTGACCTAGACCACGAGGCATACACTGGGGAATTCGCGGGGTCGGCTACTCAGCGACAAACAGCGATTGTAGGGGAGGAATCCACT